ATTCTGTATACATCAATTTTCTAAAAAATTATAAAAAAATAAATCATTATAAAACATACAGAATTATGATACGGAATCATCAATTACATATACAAACCTTATAAAAAACATATCATTTTCTTATTTCAATTTCTTATAGGACTTTCATATTACCTGATGAAGAGTTGTGAAATTTTATCAGAGAAAAGAACTATGATATTAACATATTTGATAGAAATACAAAAAATTATGAAAAATTTATAAAAAGAATGTGAATTTTACTTTAGAAGTAGCTATTAAGTTTGCTGTAATATTTATACTTCCTGGTATTCTGGTACTAGTTACTAGAAATAAAGACTACTATTCTCATATAATGTTAACCTATATTATAACTGAAAAGTTAAAATATAGTTCTAAAAACAAGGTATAGATAAATATGCTATACTGACTACTCTAACCAGTATATCATTTATAGGTGTTTTCCATAATCTAAGACTTGCCTCTTCTGCCTATTTGAAAAAAATTATGATGAAATTATATTCAATAAATAATTACTATAACTTTCTCATATAGTAAAAATAAAAATCCAATTTGAAGTTTCTTATCCTTTATGAAAAGATTATAAATGAATGGAATGTAAAAGATATTTTTAAATATTTTAAAGCTTTAAATTTATTTCTATGTTTGAGATGAACTACTTTAAGCGCTGTAGTTGCCATAACCCTTGTTTTACTAATGTATAGCATTTTTGAGTTTAATAAACTTCAACATAGCTTGTACCTTCTTGATCGTTTCTGCCACTCGTCATCAAGAGGATTTGTTTTACAAATTAATTTTTAATTGCTGAGAATCTTTTCCTTCACGTAGAGCGATAATTTCTTTTAATAATTTCTTTTCAATGTTATTGTCGTCTAATCTTCAGTTAAGTTATTCTTTATCTTTCTTTAACTATTGTACTTCTTCTCTTTATTCTTATTATTCATAACATTATATTTATTTATCTCTTCCGATTATATCTTCTGAATATAATTTCTGAATGTTACTTCCGAATATCTTTTACGAATGTGTCTTCTGAATGTTTCTTCTGAATGTTTTCTAAGTATGTCTTCCAATTATCTTCTGAATATTATTTACGAATGTGTTTTACAGTTATATTATTTCTCCTTATTATTCTTTTAAATTTTTCCTTTAATATTTTTATTTATTTTCCTTCATTTCTTTACGTTTAATTATTCTTTAACTTCTGTCATATTTTATTATTCCTCCTAAGTTTTATTTCTTCATTACTTCATTAACATTTTTATAAAATTATTATTTATATACAAGCAAGATAACTTTATTTATTTCCATAATTTATTGTTCAACAATTAATTATTTCAAACAAAAGTATTCATTTTTATTGGTGTTAAAAGTTTATTTATTAAATTATTTTTTTTTTTATTCTTGAGAAATTGAACGACAACCTTGTTTCTTGAAGATATCCAAGAATTTATATAGTAAATTTACATATAAAAAGTGATGAATAGTAACTATATGTAATGAATAAACTAATTATTTCCCTGTAATATTTAATATTTGTCACTAATTGTAACCTATCTGTGATGCATATTCTATTTATTACTATGTGATATTTAATATTCATTTTTCATGTTTTTAATATTTTCCTTCATTCCGAATTATCTGTTCTATTCTGAATTCTATATTTGTATTTGTTTATTATTTAATTTTATTCTGTTGTATTAATTCATACTTCTGTTTCTACTATATTACTTCTACTTCCGAATTCGTTATATTACTTTAACTTCCGTTATATTAATTCTTTCTTGTTTTCCTTAAGATATTAATAATAAATTTTCCTTCTTACTTTTTCATACTTCTGTCTTTCTTCTGTACTTCGTATCATTACTAACTTTCGTTCTTCTTCTGATTTCCGTTTCGTTTATGATGTCATGTGTAACTTTTATATTACACATGCTTCCATGTGGTCCAGTTTGTCATTCCTAACGAGTATACCTTTTGTGTAACCTTTTTGCATATCATGTAACTTCTACAATTTGTTATTTTTAAATATTTTCCGTCTTTTTATAAGACCCTCCGTCCAGTTGATTAATTATCCTTTTTCCTTGACCTTCCGTTCGGTTAATTAATTATCCTTTTCTTTCGATAACTAATTTATCTGAATCATTTTCTTTTGTGATTTATTCATTTCGTGTAATCTTCCTTTTTGGTCTATAATTTATCTGAGTATTATTCTTTTCTCTTAATAAAATAATTATTTCTTTTTCATCATATGACTTTTTCTTGTGACTTTTTATTGTATATTGTTGATTACTTCCTTTTGTATTGCTACGCCTTAAATACTAAAATTGTTGACTCTACAAAGTAATTTTATATATAATTTTATAATAGCAATACTAGCCAATTTATATAATTTATAATTTATAATTTATGATACTAATGCAAATTTTATAAAGCAAAATTCTTAAAATTC